AAATAACAGCTGTTGTTCCCAACAAACAAAAAACATTTTAGAGATCGATTACTTCAGCTTTAAAATAATAATATCACAAAACATCCAGGATCTGTTCTGGGTCACAGGAATAAGAGCTGAATGTCACAGAACACGACTGAACTCGGACAACGCTGATTATCACACGCCACAAGTTTAGTTAGAAGTCTGACCGTACTATTAAATACTGGACTGTAACTGTGTTACTTATTCTCTTCTTCTTGACTTTTCTTATTGTCTACCTGTTAGGGGCATCATAATGTACCTATTTCAAAAGCCAAGTTTATATACAACTCATGTCCACTTTTTGTCTGAATACCATTTCTGTAATCTGGACTGTGGATTTAAATCATTGAAATCTGTAATTTCTTCTTTTAATATTTCGTTTTTGTCATTTATTTTCTGAAACTCACGTTTCTTTCTTGTAAATAAGACGTTTCTCTCAATGTGACTTTCCTGATGAAATTAAAGTAAAGTAGCTTAAACTAACAGGTTTACACAAACACCAATGACAAAAGGAAATCAACTGAATTCAAAATTCAAATTTAAGTGAATTTTAAAATGGACTGGATTTTCCTTTCACCACCACCCATAGCTACTTTCTTTAAATTACTACTTTACTGCTAATACTTTAAATTAGTCAACATTTAATTAATTCAATTTATAATGGCTTATTCCAGTAAAAACAAACAAAAAAAGGAATATATTTTATTATAATCAAAGACATTAAAGCTACTGAGACAAATTTACAACAGAAAAGGAAAAGCAGTATTTCCGAATTATTAGTATAAATCATTGATGGAAAGTAAAACTTTACCTGGCAAACAAGTTGCTCGTAATGAAATTAAAGCAAACAACACTGAGGCAGCTCGGGTTCCATGTTGCCCATTCAGACTGTCGAAATAATCCTGATGTAAGTGATTATTAAATCTGGCGTTCACACAGTCTGACACCAGAGGCTCCTTGTCATGGGGCGACATTTACAGACACTAGAACACCCTGGTGTGAAACATGAAACTGCAGGACCTTAACGTCCTTAACAGAAGAGAGCATTGTGGTCTGCTATATAACCTCCCTTCTTTTTTACTCTGAACTCCTTGCTCTTTAACCTGAGTATAATATAGTTCTCTGATAAATTGCAAAAGTTAACAAAACTAGGATGTTTTAGTACGACACAGAACAACTGGTAAACTTTAAAAAAAACTTAAATTAAAACCTTTTTACCAATTGTACTGACCACAGCCCTGAGTACACAGGTGTATGCAGAGGTTTCTCCCCACCGCCTGCTGACCCCAAACTGTGGTGTCAACCAGGGTCTTTTCTGAAGACCATGAGCCTCCTTTGTTTCCCTTTATTTAGGGAAAGCTTCTTGGTCTGCTAGCTGTGCTGCTAGCAGACCAGTTAGCAGTCACCAAAGCCCCCACCACAACCTGTGGTGCGGGCTTGTCGTCTATAAGACCTGGATGCTCTTCTACTAGACTGGTGTCTCTGCTCTCAACAAAGTGGCAATGATTCTCTGTATAATCATTCTGTTTTTTGCTCATCTGATGTAATGCTGATGTGATTTCTGTTTCCCCAGATCGGACGCAGCAGCTCGGACCCTCGCTGGTTTTGCTCATGAGATGTGACAAGGATCCCTCGCCTTCTCTGGGGCAGAAATCACATCACATTACATCAGATGAGCAAAACCAGAATTATTATACAGAGAATCAGTTGGCACTTTGTGAGAGCAGAGACACAGTCTAGGTAGAAGAGCATCCAGGTCATTATAGACGACAAAGCCCCACACCACAGGTTTTGTGGTGGGGCTTGGTCTTGCTAACTGGTCTGCTAGCAGCACAGCTTAGCAGACCAAGAAGCTTTCCCTAAATAAAGGGGAAACAAAGGAGGCTCATGGTCTTCAGAAAACACCCTGGTTGACCACGCACAGTGGGGTCAGCAGCGGTGGAGAAACCTCTGCATACACCTGTTACTCAGGGCTGTGTTCTATACAATATGTAGTATTAGTTAAGTTTTACCAAGTTTGTCTGTGTCCG